GAAAGAGAGACACACACACTGGCTGTCTGTGTGTGTGTGTGTGTGTGTGTGTGTGTGTGTGTGTGTGTGCACGCGTGCTATACATTGATTGTCCCTGTGTGTGTGTGCGTGTGTGTGAGAGAGAGAAAGAGAGACACACACTGGCTGTCTGTATGTGTGTGTGTGTGTGTGCGCGCGCACACGCGCTGTACACTGATTGTCCCTGTGTGTGTGTGTGAGAGAGAGAGAGAGAGAGAGAAAGAGAGACACACATATTGGCTGTCTGTATGTGTGTGTGAGTGTGTGTGTGTGTGTGTGCACACGCGCTGTACACTGATTGTCCCTGTGTGTGTGTGTGTGTGTGTGTGTGTGTGTGTGTGTGAGAGAGAGAGAGAGTTATCCTGGGAGTGTGATAAACTCACTGTTGCTCTCTATGTGTGGATTCCAGGCCAGCTGTGGTTATCATAACAATCCCCCATGGCCTGGCACCGTCACTGAGATCCTGCACAGAGCTCACACCTTCACTGGCACCTAGAGCTGTAACTGCAAACAGTCCCATTGTCCCGTAACCCCACTGCAGCGTATTGAATCAGTCACTGACGTGAGGGAGGGAGAACAGAGATAAGGAGAAACTTCTTCAGCCAGAGAGTGGTGAATTTATGGAATTCACTGCCACAGAAGGCTGTGGAGGCCAGGTCATTGAGTACATTTAAGACTGAGATAGATAGGTTCTTGATTGTCAAGGGGATCAAGGGTTACGGGGAGAAAGCGGGAGAATGGGGTTGAAGAACTTATCAGCCATGATTGAATGGTGGAGCAGACTCAATGGGCCGAATGGCCTAATTTCTGCTCCTATGTTTTATGGTCTTATAGAATAGTGCAGTGAAACAGGAGTTTGTTTTATTACTCGATGGGATGTTGGCATTGCTAACTGGGCCAGTATTTATTATCCATCCCTAACTGTCCTCAGTAAGGTTGTGGTGATCTGTTGTCGAGAACCACTGCAGCTTGTATGGTGTAGGTAGACCCACAGTGTCCTTAGGGAGGAAATTCCAGGATTCTGACCCAGCAATATATTTCTACGTCAGGGTGGGGAGTGGCTTGGAGGGGAACTTGCAGGGGGTGGTGTTCCCCTGTATCTGCTGCCTTTGTCCTTCTAGATGGAAGTGGTCGTGGGTTTGGAAGGTGCTGTCTGAGGATCTTTGGTGAATTTCTGCAGTGCATCTTGTAGATAGTACATACTGCTGCTACTGAGCGTCGGTGGTGGAGGGAGTGGGATGTTTGTGGATGTGGTGCCAATCAAGCGGCTGCTTTGTCCTGGATGGTGTCAAGCTTCTTGAGTGTTGTTGGGGCTGTACCCATCCAGGCAAGTGGGGAGTATTCCATCACACTCTTGGCTTGTGCCTTGTAGATGGTGGGACAGGCTTTGGGGAGTCAGGAGGGGAATTACTCACCGCAGTATTCCCAGCTTCTGAAATGCTGTTGTAGCCACAGATTTGGTTAAGATTATGCATGCATACAGAATAAATAGGTTCAGTTGGCAGTTAGGAAGGCAAATGCAATGTTAACATTCATTTCAAGAGGGTTAAAATACAAGAGCAGGGATGTACTGCTGAGGCTGTATAAGGCTCTGGTCAGACCACATTTGGAATATTGTGAGCAGTTTTGGGCTCTGTATCTAAGGAAGGATGTGCTGGTCTTAGAGAGTGTCTAGAGGAGGTTTGTAAGAATGATTCTGGGGATGAAGGGCTTGTCATATGGAGAGCGGTTGAGAACTCTGGGTTTGTATGCGATGGAGTTTAGAAGGATGAAGGGGGAGCAGATTGAAACTTGGAGAATATTGAGGGGCCTGGATAAAGTGGATGTGGAGAAGACATTTCTACTAATGGGAGAGACTAGGACCAGATGCCACAGCCTCAGAGTGAAGGGACAACCCTTTAGAACTGAGATGAGGAGGAATTTCTTCAGCCAGAAAGGGGCGGGGGGGTGAATCTATGGAACTCATTGCCACAGAGGGCTGTAGAGGCCAAGTCATTGAGTGTCTTTAAGATGGAGATAGATAGGTTCTTGATTAGTTAGGGGATCAAGGGTTACAGGGAGAAGGCAGGAGAATGGGGTTGAGAATCATATCAGCCTTGGTTGAATGGCTGAGCAGACCTGATGGGCCAAATGGCCTAATTCTGCTCCTGTATCTTATGGTCTTATGGACTTCCATGATCTGAGGCTAAGAGCTACATCTGTAGCAGTCAAATACAATCAAAAGGCAGACAGAGCAGTGAACAAATGCTACATTACCATCTTGGCCAGTTTTATAATTCTGTGTCCTTTTGATCCGAAGAATGGTAACTGTGTATTGATTATGAACTTGAACCTTAAGCAGCAACTGGGGACACTAGGTTGCAGATGTGATCTCACCAGCAAACTGATTTGTTGATGGGGACAAGCCACAGTGAATGTGATAATCGGTTTTAAAATTCAATTGTAATTAAGATGCTCAGTATATTTACAAAGTATGTATTGTTTTTCAATATCATTGCAAAAATGGGAAAACTAAAAACCTCTAAAGGCAGAACCTTTGATCAGTGGAGCACTTAGCTGCAATTTCAAACCTGCCTTTGGAAGGCATTCTGAACCATGATGGGCAGTTTGTAGCAGATACACTCCATATACAAACAGTTTGTAGCAGATACACTCCATATACAAACAGGGGCAAAAAAGCTTTATGCATACACATGTAACTGTGATGACACACATGTGTAGCCTGTTCAAGTACATCAGTCTGTACATAATTAGAAATGCAGGACTGCATTTGGATGGCACCACTAGGAAAACACATGGGTCCATATTTCCATATTTAAAAATAAATGCAGTTAATAATGTGTGAGTATCAGTGTGCAGATAACAGTGTGTGAGTATCAGTGCGCAGATTACAGTGCGTGAGTATCAGTGTGCAGATAACAGTGC